CAAGCTCCATAACGCCGCCACCATTCACGGCCACGTACATGTGCTCTGTCCCGTCTGGCGAGGCCCGAGCTTTGGTAGTCCTGAACCGAGGCACTTAGACAGCCGGCGCCAGCATCTGAGCAAGACATCTCGCACGACATCGCATGATGGCCAGATAAAATGTAAAAAAAGCACAGCTTCGTTATTGATTGTTATGTTCATTAATATTTGTCTACGTGAGAGTCTGTGCCCCTGTCCATCGTCTAAGCGGCCGACCTTCGACCGTGCGGAAAGTGTCCGGCCTCGACACATCGAGTGTGTCGACATCTCATCTCACCCTTCCCCTCCCCAATGCCCCTCCCCCAAAAAAGTCCGCCATCAGTAAAACTGTATGTTCAGTAAAAGAAAAAGCAATGCGCAGAGACCCGTCGTTTCTCTGCCACTGTTCGTCAACGTGCTCCTGCGTAGTCAATTAACCAGGGAGAGACGCCATGAGTCCCTAGGCTGCTGCTGCTCATGCTGTCGCGAAAGCTGCCTTCTCGGCCATCCACAAACAGGATTCAAAGATGATTTGGCCTTGCTCAATGAAGGCGTCGTGCCAAAGCCAGATCATCCACTGCTAACGACCTGGTGGGAAGCTGGATAAAGTGCGTCTTGTCGAATTCCGCCCTGGGAACTCGCAAGCTGACAGTGTACAAGTGATCCATATACAATTTTGATCAAGATGCTTCAATATGGCTCAGGGTGTAGGCCGGCGACCGCAAGAGAAGCGATCGTCGACGCTTGACCCGACCAAAGGGCATGCGAGTGTCGAGTGCCCTACGTCTCAGACTCGTCCTTGGCCTTCCAGAACTGGACCATTCGACTGAGGCGCTTGGCTCGGCTGACTTTTTGCTTCTTTGCCGCTTCGCTCTCAACTGGAACTTCCTCGGAAAGCTTGCTTCGCTCGCCATGGGAGCTACTGATCAACCTGCTGAGACTTGCCAGGCTCGATCGACGACGGCCGAATGCTGCTGATGACACCGAAACGGGTCGTTGGTCAGGCCGGAAAGGCATCTGGGCGCGCGGTTGAGGCATCGGCACAAATGTGCTGTCCCTGGTCATGGTCGAGGTGCTCGATGTCAGCGAAGGCGGAATGTCGACAGAGCATCTGAGCTCTGGACCAGGTTCCCCGAGCAGTAACGACTGGAAAGTGTTCTCCTCGTTTACCGAAGATGGTGCTGTGGATATGCGTTGAGCATCGTAAGACATTGGCGACCGCGGAGAAGGGAAAGAGGACCCATGGCTCATTGAGTAAGGGCTTATGGGAATGTTGGATGGAGTGGCCAGGTGCAGAGGGCTGACCTCTACTGGCGCCAAGTCGGTGTGGCCCAGGGCATGCCTTGGCGAAGGCGTCGCAGACCCGGTCGAATCGGACGTCTCCTGCAACACAGCTGCGGAACGGAAGTCGACGTTACGGGGCTCCTCAACGATGACCTGCTCGTGAAGGGAGTTCATCGATCGCTCGGATTTCATACTGGCTGCATGCCTCGTCCGGCCAAATTCTTCATCTTGCACAGCAAGTGCGTCCATCATTGGGTTCTTCTGGATCATGATGGCGGGAGGAGTCTCATCGTCGCTGCAGGTCTCGGCAGCATCGCTCCTGTTATCCTTCAATGAGTCTTTACTGGTGGGTAGAGACGACGTTGTCTTGCCGTCTTCGCTATCATCATCGTCGTCCTCCTCCTCATCCTCCTCGAAGACATCAGCCATGGTAGAGCTGCTGCCGAATCTGTTGATGCCAAAGCGGCTTGCCTCAAAGGGCACCATCTCGGGGGCACTCTCAGCTCTGCGATGGTAATGCATGCCCGGGCCGCTGAAACCCTTCATGCCCTGGGCACTGTGAAGTTGACGTTTCGCGGAGCCTGCAGCCTTCTGCGCGGCATCCCATTCCGCGCTGTGGACAATAGGCGTATTGAATGGACCGAGCGCAGCATCCAAGTCAATCATTGAAAAGGCCGCGTCGTCCTCGGGTGTCGAGACCGAGCGAGGCTTCCAAGGGTGAGCAGTCTGGTTCGGACTCGACGAGTCGGTAATGGTTACCGTAGGCGTCACAGGCGAGGCAACTGTTTCCACAGCGGATTCGTCTCTCCGGGATTCAAGCTCAGGCTCGCTGTGGGTAGAAAGTTGGTCAGGCAGACAGTCCGTCTCGCCCTTCTTGTCCCTGGGTTTGGACTTGGGCTTCAAAATGGACCCGGCCCAGGCTTTGACTTTCTTCTTCTTCTTTTTGGACTTCTTTGACGGCTTCTTCGAGCCAGTGGGTACAGGCCCATCAGTTTCCGGTGCGACGTTAGGTGCCTGGTCGGAAGAGTTGGAGCTCGCGTCTGCTGTGGTTGGAACATTTTCCTGCTCTCGGGGACTAACTGGAACCAAGCGAGTCGGGGAATGGGCGCCGGCAAATGGATCTAGGCCAAAGAAGGACCATCGTTTCGGGGTCTTCGTAGGACTTGGCTGGGAAGGAATGTTGGTGGCCGGGTCGGGGACGTGCGTCAGGGTTGGAATGGAGTTCCGCCTGCGAGGGGAGCTGCCACTGTGGTTAACGGATTGAATGCTTTGAGACCGTTCCAATATAGCACCGGCAGTGCTAGGCCTGGATTCCTGTGGAGGAAGTGAACGTGTCCTACGGGGCTCAACAGGCGCCGCAATAGCAGGCTCCTTTTCTAGCACGGGCTCATCGTTCATGGAAATAATCGATGAGATGCTACCAGAAACAGAGTGGCCTCCCGGTCGCGCAGTGGCGGTGCTCGACGCGTCACTGGAAACCAAAGAGAGGGGGCGGGGAATGAATTCCAGTGTGTCTGAGAATCCGACCCGTGCGCGCGGGACTGGCCTTGAAGCCCTTGGTGTTGTCTGGACTGGGAGCTCAGGAGCTGCTAGCTCGCTTTCCACAGGGGTGCCAGAAGTAGACGGCTCAGTCATTGGAGTCGCGGGCACAGGCAGTTGTACTGGGGACATCTCTGGCGACTCTCCCGGGCGGCGGCCAAAGTCTGCCGGGCTGTTGGGCGCGCTGCTGCCCCGCAGGGCATTGGCGGGCTTGGGAGGCTGGAGGATAAGGGTAAGGTCATGACTGGAGATGGCGGCTGAGCGGCGATGTGCGTGTCCACGTCGGCGGCCACCCGCTGGGGGCTCGCCAAGCTGCGGTGGCTGAAAGGCGGGAGAGGTGAAGCCGCTCTCCGACTTCGTCGGGCTGGTGCTCATGACGGCAATGGATCCCCCTGAACGGATATTACCACCCACGAACTCACTTCCTCCTCGCCGGTGGCCGTGTCCACCAGGCTTTGATGGCGACGGAATCTGTCGAGGCGACAAAGGCGATATGGGAGGACTCAGTAGTGATGCATTGTTGTCTGCCGCCATGGAGGCACCTGGGTTGAAGCTGAAGTCGGGCAGTGCGGGGGAGCGTCTGGGTCTGTCGGCGCTCGGAGGGCTGTTTTCGTTGAAGGTAGAGCGACTTGGGCTCTCAATCGCAGACTGCGGCCTCCGGCCCGAGGCTCGAGAGTATGATGAAGGAGCGGAGGAGGAGCCCGGCCGGGCCGGGAAAATGAAGGGGGGGTTCGGAGGTGGCATGTTTCGAGGGGATGTTTGGTCTCCGTCCAGAGCGGACTGCGTATGCGTGAGGTCTTCCATAGGAAGCATTGAAGGCAAGCGCTGGGAGGCTGGCTGGTCGAAGTCAAAGGAGTTGAGCGTTGTGGCAGTTGCATCGATTGCCCTTTCGGGACCGAAAGCAGTTGCCATCATGATCCAACCGCTCTTCGGCACCTTGGACGTCGAGCGACTTAGGCGGACATGAGCGGACGATGGACACCGATAACAAGTCGGCTACAAGCTCGCGGGGAGGTTCGAAACGTCTATCGAGTGGCTATGCGAGCCCGCTTTCTGGCAGGTCGACTGCAACGTGTACTGGCTTTGTCGGGAGGAGAAGGGGTCGCTCCGGTTCAGAGGGGTTTGAAGCACCTGGTGAGGCAAATTGCCCGTCAGCATACACATACAGTCAGATAGTCACAAGGTGACACAACGAGTTAAGCAAAGGAAGACATACGCACAGGAATGCAGTGGTGTACAGTGTCGTTGACGGCAAGGGCGGTGGATGGATGGAGTAGAGGCAAATTCACAGTCTGATGTTGGGATGGACTGTCGCTTCGATCGCCAAGGTGTGCAGGCGAGCAAGACAGAAAGACGAAAATGCTGAGTATCAAGAATAAGACGATTTGCTTGTGCTGGGTTAAAGGAATGGACGGTCCGCAAGCAAAAATCTGGCGACTTTGCGGGACCTCGAAGACAACGAATTGATGCGATTGTTGCTTCGGATGATGGTGGTGTTGGGTTGGAGATGGTGGGTGAGACGAGACCAGCGGCGTGCGAATGGAGGAGACCTGGAGCGTGAGGAGGGAATTGGGTATTGGCAGGAGCCAGCGTTGGAACTGTGGGGACAGCAACCGCGCAACCGTGACCGTGACCATCCTGGACCATGTCCACACCCAGGCAAAGCAGGCAACAGAAGTAGGTTCCTGGGTGGGTCTCACCCATTACCCCTGCAGCCACGCCCGCACTGCCCACTGCCCATTGCCCACTGCCCACACCCTCTTGAGGGCCCCTGCCCACTGCCAGGAGGGGCTTGGACAGGGTTATCGAGGCAGGAGGGAAGCAGGGGACGGAGGTACTCGTATCCAATGTACCCACCCCCCCCCCCCCCTT